TCCTGGAACAACGGTGCCAAGATCAGCATCTATATGTTGCTTAGATTCCAGCTGTCACTTTGTCACATTGTCTTTGATACGTGTACAGTGGGTGCTGTTGAAGGATTGTTCTGTGTTCACACACTGTAGATTGCACTGTATGGGGTCTTCCCCATGCAGAGCTCATGGGTGGGACAGTGATAAGGATATCTGTTCAGGGACAGTGATCCATTACTGTTAGACCGGTGGAAGGGGACGACAGATAATATTCTAGTGAAAAAGGCGAGATCAAAGAGGATGAGGGAGTGTGTGTTCATATATGGGTTTTTTTTCTCTAAATCATACAGCAGCTGTCAGTGGTGGAATGTCATTAAGTACATTTACTCAGTCAGTGTGATTCATGGGAATATGTGCAATAGACTGTGTGGGTGGGTGGGTTTGGAGTGTGTGTGTGTGTGTGTGTGTGAGAGAGAGAGAGAGAGCGACTGCGGCTGTACCTAAGTTGCTCTCTGGCTTGCATCACCACACACAATTTTCATTTTATGTTACTTCTCTTCCCTACATCTCACAGGCAAATATTGTACTTTTCATTCCACTACTTTTGTCTGACAGCTTTAGTTTTCAGAAGGAATGTGGTGATTTTCAATGTGAATGTTTATGATAAACTGAAGGATTAATTGTTTCTTTATGGGCTGAATTCTCTTACTTCTTGAGTTAAATAAACTATTTAAAAACCCTCTTGGATTACCTGGAAAATGCCTGACAAAATTCGCAATACCTTCTACTGCACCTTGTAGTTGATTTTGGCAGTGTACCATGACACTTTGTGCACGGTAATACAGTATGTAGTTATGAGTTGGTTCCAGAAGAACTTTTGGCTTGGGTGGGTCTACGTCCCCCTGGCAGGTGTGTGCTGTGGGGGTGTAAGACCGTCTGTGTCAGCAGCTGCACCGGAATTATGGTTTCCTAGAAAAAAAAAAAAAAACTCTCAAGGCCAAACACCAAATCTGATTCACAAAGAACAAAATTTTCCAACTTAACCATAAACCAGATGGGTGAACTTTACTTTTGGGTTTCAGAATTGAACCATTTCAATCATTAGCCCACAAACGTATGCTCAGCTTGGACATTTATCACATGAATGTCACAATAGGGGTTTAAACGACCAGTGTGTGGGAATTAGTGGCATAGAGATAAACTTGCATAATTTCTCCTTCACGCTTCACAGCCCATCTTTTATCAAATACAGACGTGACCAGTGTTCAGTTGGTTACAATATCTTCACTGCTAAATGTCACTAAATCCTACACACTGGTGTCAAACTCCAAAACTGATTCATGCATCAAATAATATAAAGCAGAGAAGTAATTTTCAATTACTACTTCCCTAATATTGTGGTTTTTAATAACTACAATGCAGGTGTTCAGTGTGGAATCCATTTACACTTCCTCTGCCATCAATATAGTAACAGAAATCAGCCTGAAAATGACCTGCAGTTTCAGAAGTAACTGAGCACCTGGCAGTTTAAAAGTATAAATTAATATGTGCAAAATGAGAAGGCATCAAAAAGGCAAAGAATAAAAACAAATCTCTTTCACCTGGCTTTGTGAATCATGTAATAGACAGTATACTGTAAGAGAATATGTATAGCATGTACAGCATGACATATCATTAACAGGCTTGTTTAGTCAGATCCCACAACAAAGGAGTTTATCTGTAAAAGATTACAAGTCCAGCTGTGGTTGTCGTGAGACCAGCCTCATTTGCTTTTCTCAAAGAAAAGATCTCCGCCACTGAGCTTACATCCTGCAAAGCCTGATCTCATAATTGACATTACCTTGGAAACAAACAGAGCTGGGTGTTAAGGAAGAGGACGTAAAACAGTTTTTAAATGGGATTTAGTAGCATTGTGGTAAACTGAAGGCATTCTTCAATGATTTATTAGCAGCAGTACAGATACTGCATTATATCATTTCACTATACTATTGCATATATATATATATATCTTATAGGAACAAAAAATAGGCACAAGTAAAATCTGTAGCAAATGTCACAGCAATCTTCTGAATATACACTCTAAGGCCACACTACTAGCTACAAATATATTCTGAACTCAAGTTGTTTTGCAGATAACATGGGAGGAAGTCAGGAAGTCATCTGAAGTTCCTCAACGATGTTAATAGTTAACAATTTAACTGCTTATCTAACGTCTCATGGTTGGGATACACTTACTTAGTTGGTTTACTGTTAACCTTTTAAAAACAAATACATTTGTGCTTCTGCATTAGACTTCACTCAGTAATTAAATTATTAAGTAAAATAATTCTACTTAAAGTCTCCACTCAAAAATATGTTTTTCTTGTTCTCACAGTTGGATGTTTAATCTTCAATGTGCCGAATGATGTATATGCAGAGTTTGACACTAGAAGGAGGTTTTCACAACTTTCACAAGTTTCTCTGTGCTCATTGAAAATCTGATTTTAAAGGATGGGGCCTACAAGCATGATTTGTGTAGTGTAGTGTTGTGTAGTTAGGAAGTCAATCCTGGTCCAGTATGTAAAATGGTGGAAACTCGAAGCCACCAGTGCACATCCACTGAGAACGGACGTTACAGTGAAGTAAGAGACATCTTGTCAAACAGGAAAACTTTAGAAAGGAACATAATTTACATATTCAGAGATTCTGGAGTTTTTAATGAGGTAGAAGGAGGAGATATCTTTTTAAGGAAGTTAATGTGGAAATTATACATTTTGTGGAAAAAACATGTCTCACACATATTATTGTTGCCAGCAGACTATTATTATATATGTCTTAATACATGTCTGGAGGGGTTCTTTAATGATATTTATTCACAAAAGAGGATGTTTTCACATGTAAGAAGGAAACTGTCTGTTGAAACTGACTGTTGCATGAGGTGTTTCTTAATCGTTTCAGCACAGTGGTTTGGTCTTGCAGCCTTCTGACTATGTGTGCATACACAGGTGTTTCTTTGTGAATTTATAAAAAGTTTGTTTTGTGAGAAAACATTGCCCTTGCTGTTTTCGCACAGTTGGAGTATTGTTACAGTGCCATGTGTGGCAGCTAAAGATATTGTGGAAAGTTGTTAACTTGCTATGCTGTTCACCTCCAACACAGAGTTAATAATTCAACCAAACAACACAGACTAGGGCATTATCATTACATATTGCTTGACACCAGCTAAACAACATCAGTGTCAAGTACTAATCACACAGAAAAGAGAGACTAGAATTAAACCTACCGACAGTCTCTACGGTGACTTTACATTCTTGGCCTGCAACCACATGAAACTACAACAACGACTTGCTGTAAAAAATGCTGTTGAACTTTCAGAGCTCTAAATCCTTGCTTGTGAGACTGCTCACAAAGAGGACAGAAATAAATTCCTGTCATGTCCAACGTTTTGTTTAGCAGGAGATATACAGTAGCTGTATAAGTGTGATCTTGGGTCTCTACATGCATGTTCTAAAAACCAAAGGACTTTAAGGTGGTTGATGTTGGGCATAGAAAATATAGGTCTTGTAAGTTGCACTGGCCACTTTAAATGTCAAAGCAATGATGGAAAGTGACCCAAATGTGGGAATATTATGCTGTGGGAAACTTATTAAAGCCTGAGCTCAGACCCCCCCAATGACTGGTTTGCACAAAATATATGTTAGCAGCCTGGCACCGGGCATAAACATGTAATCACTGAAGATACCCAAAAGAGCAATTATAGGGACAGCAACACAACCTGACTAAGGCTGTTTTGGTGGTAAATAAATGGGATTGCAAAAACAGCTATCAAAAAGTAAAAAGAACCCCTTGTTTACAAAGATTTACTAATAATTTACCACCACTGGCGACTGCTTTGCTCCTGCCCACCACAAATGCCCAATCACAGGGCTGTTGGTTTGTCAACCATGTCTGTATGAACATAACATTGGGTGATATATAACCATATTATCAATATTGTCTCAATTTTAAGCTGCTGGAATAGGAGTTGCATGTTGTTCTGTTACAGCCAATCACACTTTGCACTAAATAATTTACCAGTGTTGGCTTCAGTAGGGTTTCAAAACCTTGCGTGTGAAGTTTAAATTGTATCTGCATTACCTTAGTATTAGAAAAGGGAGCTGAAATGGTCCCAGACAACTTCACTGGAAAAAATCTGTGTGTCTGACTTAGTCAGCACTCTGACGACCAGACTAAATAGGCCTGCACTTCCTTTCCTTTCCTAGAGCTGATATTTTCACAGCTGCAGCAGGAAGAAAACCCTCTTTTGTGGACTGTGGGGTCTGAAAAGTTAACAGTTTTGGGCACACTGGAGTTATGTTTGTTCTCATTTCAAGGTGAGCAGCAGATGGCAGTCACCGATTTGTCTGTGACACACTGGGGGGGAGGTCATTCAAGGTAATACCTATTACATGTCATGACTGACACAAACCATAGGATTCTTTCTAAAATAAAATACTATTACAAATATACTACTAATATTTTTACAACAAAAAACAAGAACTAAAAAGAGGACACACAACATAAAGTCTTTATTTAAATTTATTTCTCATGGTGTTCATATAGACCGTACAGACTAATGTTCTTATAAGAAAATTTAACTGAAGCTTAAGTGACATTTGACTAAGAACTAAAGTGAATCAGAAGTAGAATACAATGGAAATACTCAAGTAAGGAACATGTTTAGGCAGGTACTTTCCACCTCTGACAGTGACCTTATTTCAACTTTCTCATCTCATTAGAGCAGTATAGTTTTATTTGAAAGCTTTGTTGCTGTAGTTGTTATCTTCTCGCTTGCACAATTACCTTACAATAATTTACCTTTTCATTAAATGAATTAAATTAGTGTAAACATAAAAATGTCACACAACCTCACGGACAGCGTGCTAACGACACATGTGTCCTCACCCACCACTGACTGACACACCTCAAGACTCTCAACCAACCGGATCTCGCGATGACTCGTTTGGCGCGAAGGAGGATGTGACGTTGAAGCTGTCACGCCTATCGTCGACTCGCAGCCAATCCCAGAGATATAAGTAGAAACGCATGGTCCAAGGGCACCGGGTGAGAGACCACATAGCAAGGAAACAGCAAGGCGAGGAACCTCGTGTCAAAGGCTGTCACTGAAGAAGTGAGTCGGTTTGAGCTGTGTTGAAGAGAAGGTGAGAGTTTATTTACGGTAGCTCAGACTCAGCGGCGTCGGCGTTTTAAAGCTTATTGTACTGAAACAACTCCTCCAGAGACTGCTCTGGAAGGATATAAGCTCTAGTTTGTCTTTGGAGAGTGTTACTATCACTGCCACATATACTGCATATTGAATATACTCCTTTTGAGTAACTTAAACCTAGCATACCTTTATGAATGAAACGCTAAGGTTGTCGCGTCCTCGCCAATGGTCTTCGCCTGTTCAACAAAGCGTACGGCAGAAGAGGCGGTTACGCCACCTGTCACTTTTTATTACGTTTCCTGTTTGCCTCATTGTATCAGACAGGACTCGGTCTTCACGGTATTGGTTGTCACGTTGCCAATGCAACGAGGGCGCCATGATGAGGACGGGCTGCGGTCACGTTCAGCGCAGTCTCACTGTGCTGAGTGATCGTTCAGCCACAGCCTCCCTGAACGACCCTTCCCTGCTCAGGGGTGACCGTGTCAGTGTGTGGACACTAACACTGACCTTCACAGGCAGCAATAGACTGCTGCACAGATAAGCTATCTGTACTACAGTATTCATAGCTGTAACATCCAGTCTAGACAGATTTCAACGTGCTCTTTCCATATTAAGGTGGAGCGGTGAAATGCCTCTGTGAGGCGTTATGTTAATATTTGCTAGTACGGGAAGTAGATTTGGTTGTGAATGAGATGACCCTGAGGTGTTGTAGTATAGGTTGGTGGAAGCATTGAACACACTGTTCAGACTAGCAGCAGGTGAACTTGACAAGCCTAACTGTTGGCTGTTGCCTTTCTTTGTCCTGAAAAGAGCAATTAATTGTTTGATTGCATTATAGGACACACACACACACACACACACACACAGCAAAACGGTTAGAGCTTTTGTTCACTTTAGTGTGGGGGTGTTGAGATGAGACCTGCTTGCATTTTCATTTTATCTTAGTATCTGTATTAGTCATGTTTTGTTTCTTTTTAACTGCCTCACATTTTGAGTATCCTCTGTTAGTGTTAGGACAGGTATACACTGCAGTGCCACCTGGTGGATCATCTGTTTATAGTTTACTACTACCACCAGAACCTGCATTGTAGTTTAAAAACAACAAAAACTCTTGATTAAAGATTACAAGAGGTCATTGTCTCCTCTTCGTAGACTTCAGCTGCGTCCTGTGTTTTAGTTCCCGTCTATAATTCAGAATGTGCTGCTGTTCTTTAAGAATACGTCTTGTGCAGACCTAATAATAAATGGGATTTGTCTGCCTCACTGTTCTACTTCATTTTCCCATGAGCTACTTGGAGCTTTTCCCCAGTGTGACTCTCACATGATTTGCCACTGCACAATGACTCCTACGCACCCCTGACCCCTCTCCCCTTCTCCTCTCCTATTTCCCCCATCGTTCTTTTTCTCACCGTCTCCTTTTGTCTCCCACACCTCACTTTTTTTCCTCCTTCCTCTCTCCTGCTCTCCTTGTTGTTCTCATTCTTCTATTTATCACTATCTCTTTTTGTGTCCCTCATTTCCTATAGAGATATATCTCTATCTCTATCTCTATCTCTATGCCTTGGTCTTCTTTTTCCTCTCTCCAACAAGGATAAAGTTGAAAGAGTTCTGTTGCCAAAAACACCAAATCTGGATCTAGTTGGAATTTAAAAAGTAACTCCTAAATAAAGAAAATTATCAAATTATTCAAGTTTTATATTACTATATTATATTATTGCTTCCATATCTATATTTAACTGTGTTAATGTGTATAATTGTTGAGTGTATTTGTGTGAGACATTTAAAAAAGTAAAAAGGCGAATTAGTTGTCTTTCATATTTTTGGTGCAGTACACCCAGCACTCAAAATGAAACATGTCCCGTTGGCTTGTGCACCTGGGACACAAAGATAATGTGTCTGGGACAATTCTGGACAGTCGAGAAATTTTAATGAAATTATGTTTGGAACATCATGTCACATCACAACATTTTAATCATTAGTGTTCAGTTTTGAAAAATGTGAGGTAGCTCACACAAAATCCGTCATAGAGAGCCAGTGTCGCCAATTTTGCTACTTTCAGATGTAGCCACTTTTCAGACACTCTTAGCAACTTTATTTCTTAAAAGCGGCTTGCGACAATTTAGCAACTTCGTCAGAAGGCGAGAAATATATTCAAATATATTGTAATTCATCTCCCTGCATGTTGCTCAGAGTAATTCTACAGTTCCTCTTCCAACAGCACCGGGTGTCTCTCCTTCTCCTCTTGTGTCAGTATGCTCTTTCTATAGTGTTCCAATAACTTGTAGGTAAATAGTTTGTTTGACCTTCTCTCAGTCTTTATCCCCGGATCTCTAGATTAGACTTCCTATAGTTTGTATGTAAATAGTTTGTTAGGGCTTGTAAATATTTAGTTTATTTGAACTCTCCCTCCCTTTTTTTTTCTTTTACATTTTTTCCTGCCAACGTTTTTTATGTCCCTGTACTGAGTTTGGGATTATTTGGCTAAATGATAATATTCAAAGTGTATGTATTTAATTTTCCGTTGTCAGGTTTGCATGTGCACGGAAACTTGCAGAGATGCATTTATTTATCGGTTAGAAACAAAAAGTAACTCAACCAAAGAATGACTAAAAGCATAATGAAAACTTGTAATGGCCAAATACCTAGGAGATTTCAATATTGATTTATTTATTTTTATTCAGATATAACTGCAGGGAACAACTAACAGAACTGCCATGGCGGACCAGAATGAGTCAATGAATTGAAGCGAGTTACTGAAACCAATTTACTAAACCATAATTATGTAGACTGAAAAAGGGTTGTTAAAGGTCCAGTGTGTAACGTTCAGGAGGATCTGCAGGCAGAAATTGAATATAATATTCCCAGGCGTGTTTTCAGCAGTGTATAATCACTTAAATAGGAGTCCTGTTTTTGAAACTTCCACTGGCTCTGGAAAGGCCCTTCTGTATTTTTTGCATTGTCTCTTGGAGGTTTTCCCTACTGGCATTGTGCGCGTTTCCAGTTAAGGTTCAACCACTAGTTAGACCAGGTTAATTATATGGTATTTGGATGTGCGGCTCCAGGAACTCTTCAAAGATCTTACTGTAACAGGAACTATTCCTCAGTAAAATCCCTCCATACCATTTCATGAAATGTGATAACAACAGATTGTTGTTTGTGTATGAGTTAAAGTTTTGCTGCAACTGCTGAATATACACACAAGCACACAATTTGCTGATGGCAGATGTCTTTAGACAAATAGAATAGGTCTTTAACACCCAAATTATAGTTATTACGTTATCATTGTTATGACAGATGTATTGAAGGTTGCACTGACTGGTAATAATTATGTATGTAATGTTGACTTGCATGTAACTTGAGTTATATCAGCAGTTTATAGTGTACCGCTACATTTGACTGTAAGCTAACAGTAGAATAGAACATCCATGTTAACACTTGGCCTGTTGGTACGATTTAGTCAATGAGTGTGATTGATTCAGTTATTGTATGAGAGAAGGGCATTTTGCAACTTCCAACTTCTTCACCCACCCTCCCTTCAACCCACCCCCCCACCCCCACCCCTCAATGACCCTCAGCTGAGTTCACAATAGTGCTGTTGTAATGTTAGAACACAATTCTTCTTGCCACAGCTTCAATAACCTATTTATGAAGCAATGGCTACTGTTTTTTTGCTCAAAGGAATTGGTTAACACATGTTGCTAAAGTACTAAGCTACTTTAGCAACATGTTTGACCTTGGAAATCAGATAAAGTGGCCTTTAAAATGCTGATGGTGATATTGAATCTGTCTGCAGGGCTATGGAGTCCTTGAGGTTGAACTTAAATCACACTGAATTAGAAACTATTTCCACTCTCCTACATGTTCTTTGCAATGCTTTCTAAGTTTCTTTCATTCTGTCTGCATTATGTTGAGTGCTGATAACAGATGAGACTACAAAACAGTTCCACACATTTAATTTTTTTGCCCTTGACTGCTCAGTGCGTACATGAACTCAGTCCAACATCATTTCTTGTTCAAGTTTGGGGGGGGGGTAGCATGCTTTCCTATTCTCATTTGACTAACCGGTATTGCCTGTGAGTGCAGTTCCCAGAAGGGCGTGACTTTTGCTCTTACTATCTCTTACACGCATGTGTCTGGGGAAGGAGGAAAAAAAAAAAATACTCAGTGGAGATACAAGTTGCCCCCTTCAAGGACATAAAGCACAGGCTGACACATTTTAGTGGAGTTGGTAGAGCAGTGTTAAAAGTGTTGTGAGTTTGTTCAGTGTGCTTTTTGTTTGTGCGCATACTTGTGCATTCTTGATTTTGTATTATGTTTTTATATTGCTCATATCCATATGTCTCAACTGAAAGAGTAGCTAATCTGATTAAAGTATTAAGGTCCGGTATGTTTGGTATGTAAGATTATAGACATCTTAGAGAGCAATTAGCTTCACAAAGCTGCTAAGCCTGCTCTGATTCCATTTTTTTTGGAGTCCATATTTAACAGCTGTCTGTAGGTTGTGTTTGTAAAGTGGGCTGTGAATAAGACAAAATGTCAGGCTACTCACTTTTTTTAGTTTGTGACCTTTTTACATCTAAATTACTTGTTCTTAGTGGGGTTGTATCACCCTGCAAGGTTATGGAAGGCAAGGGAGTTCTGAGGCGGTCTGAGGCCAAGCTATGTTCTAAAGTTAGCTGTACTTCATAATGCCTAGAATAGCCAAAGTGTTTTCTCAGTTAAGTTATTGTATGGCTGGGTTCCAGCACGTCTGCACCCTCATTTGCTTTATGGATCTGCCTTATTTAATGCACTTGGACTACAAGGTTAGGCTTGTTATCTATGCTGTCTTGGAGGCTTGCTGTTGGAGTAAAGCAAGGCCATGCTTTGGAGCTGCAAATTAGGGCAGGCTTGCCTGATCGTTTGTGTCCCCTTGGCATTTGCCCACACAAGCTCTCCTCACGCAATGTCCAGTTTAGGATCTCCCTCCAGTGGAGCTTGTGAATTGGCCTGTAGGGGTCATTAAGAGTTTGTCTCTGCTGTCTAGCTGCACAGCACACATCATAATCACCACAGACAGGCTCAGTGTCTTTTCCTCTTATTTTCAGTTTTTGTTTGTACACTTACACTGAACAGGCAGTTACATTGAGCAGATGGTGTGGAAATAAAGTGAGCCAGATTTGACCCTTTTTGGACTGTGTGGTTTGTGATTGAACCTGCTGTCAACAAAACGGTTTCATTCAGTCCGAAGTTCAGTCGCTGTGGTTTAACCCCTGAGCCCATATACTTCTCACATACAAGTTGATTAAGAGCTGTTGGATTAACTCAAGGCTTGATAAGACCAGGGTTGTTTGAAGAGTTTTGTTTTTCTCTCAAGGTCTGACAGGGTAGGAGAGAGGTCATGGGTGCTCTCTCAGTCAAATCATCCTGTCTGCTCACTAGAACTGGGATTAGGGTTTGTTAAGAGTTGCTTTGCTTATGGCTTAAAGGTCAGTTGGATGGTAGAAGGAACTGTTAAATACTACTAGCTCTTCATGGATAAACCTTTGTCAGAGGATTTCACTGTCAAATGCTCAGTTTGGCAGTAATTTGCAAATGCTTTGAATGCGTACATCTCAATTGGTTTTTGCTCTTTTGGGTCGCTAAGAAGTTTGAAAATATCAAATTGTTGTGCAAGGCACTGGTATCGTCTCTCCAGTGCATCTTTAAGAATGCATTCAAGTGAACAACAGAGCCCCGTAACTAAGATGTTCTATAGCCTTTTGTTGCCTTGTTAACTATTGGACAGCCATTTGTGTTGTCTTCATGTGCATTGTTCAGTGTTTATTGTCGTAGAAACATGATGTAACCTTCTATTGTTAACATCCATTTGTATTACACCTATTTGAACAAAAAACCACACCTGCCCACCATTGTGCTTTTTATAGAGAACAAGGAAGTAATGGTACTCATTGAGTAACTTCCCATCACAGTAGAATAGTTGCATTGTTGTTGTACAGGTACATTTACACTAAAGAAGAAATGAAACAAATACAGCAAACCAGGTTGGTCAAAACATGTTAATACTTCTCATGTTAACCAAATAATTTATTATTTTCAGTACATGAGTTACTACATATATTCTATATATTATACTTGTCAACCTTATCATCAAAAAGGGTGTTTTTAATGGCATGATAAGCCAATCTTGTTGAGGCTTCTTGACCAAGGTCTATAGTCACATATACTGCTGCTGACTAAACTACAGCAAAATTCTTATTGACTTTACTGATCTGTTAAGTTTTAAATAATTACATTGTTTTTGGTTTCCTTTAGTTCTGGCTAATATCATGAAGCAGGCTATGTAGTCGGTTGGATTCACAAAATTGTCACAGTTGTTACTCAAAGGCAATCCATAGTCAGCATTCAGAAAATGCTAGAGAAAGCCATAAAGTGACTATGCAGTTTCCCAAGTGTCAAATATCAGGGAATCAATAGAAAATTCACTGAGCGGACAGAAATTCTATACTGCAACATTGCTTCTTTCATACCTTAATGTGCATTCATAAAAGAAATGATTGTTCTGATGTCGGTATAAGAACTGTGCTGAAAACAATACACGAGCAAAGTAATAGTAGTTGATTAGTCATTATCAAATGTTTGTTTTGGGATAAAATCTGACCTCCTATATCTGCAGCACCTTACAGAGCACGCCCTCTCTCCTGACTATGATCACACGCATGCCTCTTTTTTCACAGTATTTAAGAAAATATATACAGAAGAGTTGCATTTCAGGTCTTGTTCCTCTGTTGAATTGAAACCTTGCTTTGTTTGGCTTGTCTTCTGGATCAAAGCTAGTGGGAAGCTAGTTATTCTGTAATTGTATTCTTCTGGCAATGGAGTTCACATGGAGGCATGGAGCCTGTGTTGACCTGCACTGGACACTGGTCTTTTGTGCCTAGAAACAGTGCTGCCTTTCTAGTTAGCAGCAAAGGAAACCCCATGGATGTTTGGACAAGAGGTGGGACGTGTTCTTTGGGCACCCCCATTATCCCCATAAGTGAAACAGTAACACACTGTATAGACACTTGTACCTACGAGTACATTATACTCTACCTAAAATCTGTCTTTGTGTATAAAACATCCATCCCTTGTGTAGACTAGACTGTGTAGAGTGGTTTGTCATTTTTAAAAAACAAACTGTGATAAAGGTAACAACAACCGATCAGTCTGCAGGCCTGATGCTTCACTAATAGACTTTCCTTGTTTGTTTCCCTTTTTAGATTCCTGTGAAGCAGCAATGGACCAGGCACGGTCAACGATATCCAAAATTGTGAGTATCCTAACCAGTGACGAATACTTTGAGATTATTTTCAGTATAGATAATATTGCATATTATTGAAGTGCTGTAAATTCATCTCTAGTAAGATTGGGAATGTGATTTATTTTCGAAGTACTGAGACTGTACCACTTTCAAATAACACAAATGTTATAAAGGGTTTATAAGCTGAATGAACTTCTGCCAAGTTATGAAGTTGGTTTATTTTTGGCTGTCTGCTGCTTTTGTCTTTTTAGCTCTTTCATCATCATTCATTCTTTTAATCCCTTGACAACTTCGGACCACGAAGGACAGCAGAGCTTTTCTTTTATCTTGGTAACAATTACAACTGCAGACTTTTTAATGGAACATGAGTTACCATTAAAAACATGGTTTTGTAGTCTACAGACTTGATGGCTTACCAACTTTTACAACATGCACACATTATTTACTACAACCTACAGCCATTCAAAGGTGTTTAAAAGGTTATCCACTCATCACTAGTTTACAGACCACAGACATCCTCTTTCATCTCAACTGCAGCTCAGGTGCACAGTTCATTGGTCTGTGGCAAGTGTGACCTCTGATCATAGCTTTACCAATCTTTTAGTAATGCCATTTTGTAATAAAGTATGACTTGTATTGCTGCTGTTGGAACATTTAGGGATAATTGTTAACAGATTCGCATCCATAATTATGGCAAGTCATGTAAACATTGTTAAATCATATTTTCTACTCATACCTGTGTTGTTCTGTCATTACAGTTTAATGGGGAGCCACACTCCTACACACGTTTCAACTTGACCCAGAACATGGAAGGTGATAACAGCCAGGTGGAGATGAAGCTGTCGTCCGACATGGATGAGGAAGTTGGGGGAAATGGCGTTGGAGATCACCTCAATCACAGCTCCAACCGCAAACCCCATGTGGCTCAGAAGCTTGGACGCACACCCAAGAACCTGTGCTTCTTGGCAGCTGCCACCCTCCTCATCTTTATTATTGGTAAGTCGGGGAGTGTCGAATGGAGCAGCTGACTTTCTATCAAGTTTGCAATACTCACTTGCGTAACTTGAGGAGTTCCTCAGGGATCAATCTCAGGGACACTACTGTTTATTCACCATTGACATTATCAGGAGGCATTGTCTTTCCCCACCTGCACATGACATGCAACTTTTGACTATGTCTCCTAATGACACAGGACCAGTATGTGCTAATTTTTTGTTTTGTGTTTTAGATATGACTAATTGGATATCCTAACATGTTTTGCCACTCAACAGAATAAATTAAACATAATTGAAGAAGTTTCTTGGGCGGTGTAGGGTATACATACTGTACAGTATAGTCATGGTCTCCTGGTGGTATAGTGTTTCAAAATGCTGACTGTGGTTTGGGCTGTAACTTGATGCCTTTAGTCTGTCCTTGGATTGTCCCTCTCTGTCCATGGTTGTACCTCATTTCAAACCACTGCTACTTTCAGGCTACTTGATTGGCTATCTGGTGCATCGGAAAAGCGACTTGGCTCCAAGCTGTGCAGCCTCCGTGCTTCCTTTGGAAGAACCTGTTCCTCACGAGACAGGTGCTGCTCCCCTCATGGACTGGGACGATGTGAAAAAGCTCTTCGCTCAAAAACTCACTGTAGCCAACTTTGAATCTGTCTTCAGGTAAATATAATATCCACACAATGCCTGTGGAACCTGCTGTGAGGCAGTGTTGGTATTCTTCCAAAAGTACTAATCTTGGAAAAGTTTTTATTTGTATTACAATTTAAAGTAAATTATTGTTTCCTGTTTGTTTGCTTGCCTACCTCTTCCTTCCCCCTCATGTTATATTTCCCCCTATCCTAGTGAGTTTTCCAGTGATGAACACCGGGCTGGTTCTCCAGGTGATGATGCTCTGGGGAACAAGGTGCTCAAGAAGTTTAAGGAGTACGGCATGAACACATGGACCGATGAGCACTTTGTTAAAGTTCAAGACCCCCCTGCTTCCGGCTCCAACAGAGTTGTTTTCAAGAATGGAAGTAATGCGGAGTATCCAAAAGGACTCCTGTCCTACAGTGCCATAGGAACAGTAACGGTAATCTACAAGCTACATTTTAAGTATAAAACACTCATTTCTTTAATGAAGTGGAAAAACATGCAGTACATACTTTTTTTTGTCCAGGGTGCTGTCTTGTATGCGGGTTATGGGCAGGAAAGTGACTTAATGTTACTGCGGGACAGGAACATCAACCTGTCTGGCAGGGTGATGCTGGTCAAGGCTGGTAAGATCAGCTTTGCTGAAAAGGTGGGTGGTTCTAGTAAGAATTATAGTTTTTATTACAAAAACCTTTTTTACAAATTCTTTTGTTGGTGCCAATAAAAATTGTAGTGACTATTTTTTTCTTTCTTAAGCCCCTTTCTATTACTTTTTTTCTTACAGGTAGCCAATGCTGCCAAAATGAATGCCTCTGCTGTGTTGATCTACCCTGACCCTGCCGATGACACTTTCGAAGAGGACACTGAGCTCTATGGACATGTGAGTGTGACAGTTTAGACTAGTGGTTCCTAACCTTTTTTTTTTTTTTTTCCTTTTTTACAAACCTTGTCCAATTGACACATTTTATGGATATTTCATGTTATAATTATTGCATAACTATACAATGAACCCAAATAGTGAATACAACAAATGTGATAATGGTTAGCAAACGGTAAGAAAAATCTAGTTGTAAATGAATCTCTTTTGTGAATTGAAGAATAAACTTATAAAAAAAATAAAAAAAAATAAAAATACTTTTAATGTCCCCATAGGATAACTTCTTTTTGGGAATATTTGATTTCTAATTATCTTTGGGAAAATGTTTATTAGAAAGTCAATGTGCAAATTGCCTGTAGTTTAACATTTTATTAATTTCATATTTGGAAGTCAAATCATAACTGCTCTGCAAACTTGGTCAAACCTTTACATCCAACTTTCCTCTGTCTGCCTCTCACAGGTCCACATGGGTTCAGGGGATCCCTACACCCCAGGCTTCCCCTCCTTCAACCACACCCAGTTTCCCCCTGTCCAGTCTTCTGGCCTGCCAAAAATTTTGGCTCAGACCATCACAGCAGGCATGGCTGCAAAAATTCTGAGGTAAGGCTCGCCTACTTTGTGGACCAACTAAAACAAAGCACAGAGATTATGATAAATACAGTACATTGTCTGTATGTCAGTACATTGGATCTGTAGTAGATTCCATAACCTTAATGTTTATTGTCTACATCCCACAGGGAGCTGGGGGGTCAGAATGTGCCACAAGCGTGGGGAGGAATCTACAAACTGGGAGAAGAGAGAGATCTTATTACTGTGGACGTCAACAATGTTCTTACTGAGAAGAAGATAAATAATGTCTTCGGGGTCATCAAAGGCTTTGTGGATGCAGGTACAATGGGATACTTATTTAACGCGAGGGGTAACTGCAATCAGGAAGTAGTGGAAAAACTGTCTTTTTTAAAAAATTTTAGATCGATATCTGGTCATCGGTGCCCAGAGGGACGCTTGGGGTCCAGGTTTTGCTTCATCGACTGTCGGCACCAGTGTCCTTGTTGAGCTGGCACGCTCCATCTCTGACATGGTGAAGAACGGTGAGTCTCAGGTGGCAGCTGATGTCTGGAATGGATGTACACTTCATGTTGGAGCGTGCGTTAAGTCATAACTGGGCATAGCATTTTCTATTTAAAGAGATGCCTCCAGTTTTGTTAATGCGCATTTATTATCCACTTGACAGACGGATTCAAGCCAAGGCGAAGCATTGTGTTTGCCAGCTGGAGTGCTGGAGAATATGGGAGTGTTGGCGCCACCGAGTGGTTGGAGGTGAGAATCGCACAAGGCATTACCATAACTGCATTTTCAGCAGCTTTTATGCAGTAATACTACTGCTTTTTGTTAGCACTCTGCCTCAATTTTGTTATATTGTTTATTTGATTATCCAGGGTTATCTCTCTTCTCTGAGCATGAAAGCATTCACCTACATCAACCTGGATGGCGTTGTAGCAGGTATTTACCTTTACTCCAGATTAGTCAATTACATATTGAACACCTTCTTATACCTACAACATCACACTATATGTGATTTTCAGAATGACTGAATATAAACCTTCCTTTCCAGGTCGGAACGGATTTAAAGTAGCAGCCAGTCCCTTGCTGTACAGCTTGATCAAGAGCTCTCTAAACGAGGTAAACCCTCCTTTCAGTGAATCACACTCTGAAGCACATTCTCTACAAACCTACTGTATTGTCAGTATTTAAATACCATTTGTTTGCAAATGTTAAGGTGTAACGTACATATACCATTCTCTTCTCTTTAGGTGAAGTCTCCAAACAAGGCCCCTTCTCTCTCTTCTGAATTTGCAGGGGGCAACTGGGAAACAAATGTGTAAGTCTGATCAGACTGTTCAGTATTTACACATCACTGAGATCAAAGCTTTTCTCCTCAGTGTCACATCCACAGCTGGAAGGTGTAGGATAGCTCTCATTCTCACGTTTTGCGAATGTTCGCTACCTAATCTTCCTTTTTAAAAACATTTACCTACAGAAAGTGCCACTGAAGCACTAAAGATCTTGTATGTGTTTATTTTCCAGATTGGAGCCTCTGAAGTTGGATAATGCTGCATATCCCTTCCTTGCCTTTTCTGGAATACCCTCAGTATCATTTAGATTCACCCCTGGGAAGTCAGTAAGTAAACCTGCTGTACGATACTTAAAAAAACTTTTTGAGCCTATATCCATAATATACATTGAGCCCTTATATCAAAGCTTGATTCATCCCGGGACACATCTTTTCTCACTGTAATTCTCAATTATTGTCTTTCCCTCTCAGGAATACCTGTATTTTGGCACAATGCGGGACACCCGACAGAAACTGAACGGGGTCACGTCCAACTCAGTTCCTCAGGTGGCTGTAATAGCATCCCAGTTTGCAGGTCACATGGCGCTGAGGCTGGTCCATGATCACCTCCTGCGGATGGACTTAACAAGGTACCACGATATTATACGTACTCATGTGGGTCAGATCAACGCGAAAGTCAAGGCTGTTCAGAGGGTGAGTGTCCTGTTTTTTTTTTTTCTCTTAATGCCTTTTTAATTGATATCGTCCCTCCTTCTCTAATTACAGCTTTGATTATGTCACCCAAATGTGCCCACTAGATACATATCCATTAGGTTGATTGTTCAGAACACTAAATTATCCCTGTGTATGCCATCTGTGCTTCCAGGTGCAGCCCCAGCTGTTGCCCAAGTCACTGACGGTGCAGTGGTTGATCTCTGCCTCTGGCTCATACGGCCGTGCCTCTCGCAGCCTGTTAGCAGACGTCCAGAACAGCGACCTGGACGACATCGAGATGTGCCGCATCATTAATGACCGCATCATGTCGGTAAGACCTCTACACAGGTTGTCCACTGGGTCCAGGTGCACAGCATTATGGTGGCTGTGACAATTGCAAAAAGGACCTATCTAGAGCGAGTGTTGGGTTTGTCCTTTCTGGGCTACAGTAGAAACACAAAGACATTTTTAGTGTATCCGTTATACACATAATGGATACACTGGCCCGCTGCGGCTTCAGAATTTAATGAAACATCTTGAGCTATCCGATCCATTGAGCTCAAACACACACATATTTCACCCATGCAATGAGCCCTTCACAAGATGGAATAAGCACAGTACACCTGAAGTATCCAAAGGCCACCTGTACAGTGTGAGATCACAGACCCAACAGCGCTTCTACTCCATTGTTTTCAATAATCCTGTGTTTCTTTGCTTGTTTCTGTAGGTGGAAAGGAACTTCCTGTCACCCTTTGTGTCTCCCAGAGAGAGTCCTTTCCGCCACATCCTGCTGGGCTCCGGCAGTCACACTCTCCAGGCTCTGTCCAACCACCTCGAAGCCCTCAGGACTACCAACCCTGAGGCAGATGCTGATCTGTTCCGCAACCAGTTTGCCCTGGCGACCTGGACCCTTCAGGGCTGTGCCAACTCACTAGCAGGGGATATCTGGTCTTTGGATAATGAAATATAAAAAGTAATTTCCTCCCTCCTCCCTTGTTCATGGTTTGGCCCTCTTAGTGCAGCTGGCAGTGTGAAAACCAGTAGGCTGTGATTATTAACAGTCACAGATGCAGTTTTTTTTTTTTTTTCTTAAATTAACATAGCTGATTGAGGAAGTGATAAAAGTGGAGTTGTTTCAAAATGCCAAAATTAGTAATCAACTCTGTTCCATAATTTTCAAAATTTCAATAAGCTGCCTCATCTCCCTTCTTTCTAAAATTCTCCATAAAGTCAAACATTCATGATAAATTGTACTTAAACCTTCAGCCTTAACAAAAAGAATGTTTAGAAGGTCATTCTCTCTCTTTCCCCCACATTTTTAACATGCAGTACTTAAGTACTGCATTTTGAATACTTTGGTGCTAGTAACGACTACCTTCAAACAGCCATATTAAGTGGTAGCACTACTTAAAGTGGTGGCTATGAATGAGTTGAATGTAGTGAAAGTGATGCTTTTTCAGCACAGTATCAGGTCATAATCACAGGAAATGCTGTTTGCCAGCTCAGAAATGAATAAAACATGAAAGGCCACTATGATGCAATAAGGTAATGCCTTTCCATTTGTTTACCATAATGACTACAGATCAAAAGTGCTGGTATTTCCACTGCTGCTAGAGCCTCATGTTCAAATACATTTGAGCTGGTTTGTGTTGGTAGCTATAATTTCATACTGTGCTGAAATCTGCTGCTCAACTCATTGTCAGAGATTCAGAAGTTGCTGAAAAGGACTGAAGATTAACACTTACACAGCTGTTGTGTTGCACAGAACACACCTAGAAGTAGATTTTGGACAACCAGCTGTCGTTACTTGGCACCGTGCTGCATTAATCTTTTTAAGAAAAGTCCTAATTACTCGCAATAATAATTAATTGGTTGATCATCTGAATCGTCCACCTCCTGACATGAGGGCGAGTCTCTGTAGGCCTTTCAAAAACCAAGGGAGAAGATCTCAACCATGTGGCACTGAAACAGAAACCGTACGTCTATTTATTGTGTTATTTATTTATCAGTGGCAGGGTTCACTATAAATAGTTTTTTTATCGCCTTTTATAAAAAAATGTATAATTATCGGGAGCAGTGCCTTCCATAATTATGACAGTTATACTGTCGAATTGACAAAAGCAGCATCTGCTTAAAGAAGTGTACATGTTGACCGATGGCCAGTACTGAACACAGAACAATCTGGCACCTCTCAGCAAACCACACAACTGAGGTAATTATTTTGATTTTATTTTGATTTTTTTATACTTAAACCTACTACAAGGAGTTTTTAACTGGTTATGAAACACCTCAATTTAATAGTGATTCCTCTATATGACCCACATAAACAAACAAAGCCATCAACCAGAAGACTGGCTGTTTATTTATAATTATTGTCAGTGCAGTAATGCTCTGCCACTGGGTCAGAGTTGGTCAGATTCCCCTCGAAATCAGAGAAACGAGGCGGTGGAAACACTACCGCTTTTGTCCACAGGGGCCACCAGAATCACATTAAATGAAAGTTCCTTGTAGCTGCTTTAACTGACACTGGATTGGTCTTTTAGGCAAGTCATTTCATATATCACACCTTGGAAAATATATACTGAACACCTCTGTTTGTCAGTACCAGTCCCTTGGTCCATGCACACCTCTCGTCCTCACAACATTATCGGGAGCAGTGTCTTCCATAATGTGAAAAAAGAAGGTAGTTTTTGCCTACCAGTGTGTGTCCGTATCGGAGGCAGTGCCCTCCATATTTCACTGTAGGGGTGGATGTTTTTATTATCGGGAACAGTGTTTCCCATAATGTGTATATATACAGTACATTGCTACACCATGCACTTGTTGTCTGCATCTTTAAAAGCCTTCTATGACGTTTGCTAAAGTAGTTTCCTCTAAGGCCTGAAGCTTCTGCCCACAGATCTAAAGGATAGTGATGAGTTTTAACGTCTGCTCTTCTGAAAACATGTCCCATCTGTCTCCTTACTGAGGTGAAGAAGTTGCAGTTCCAGGTTCTTTTAGTTTTGTTTAGTGAGCAGTTTGTCTCATTTTAATCAAGCGCTAATCTGTCTTTTCTTTGGGCTTCATATTGAACTGACATGGAAGGTATTTTGCTTTAAAGGAAAAAATAAAGTTTTACACATATTTTTGGGACCACTGGTTACAGCAGTGTGGTCCAGTTTTTACAGTAAAGATCACCACTCTGCAAAATGAGTTTTGTTTTTATTGATTCAGTCAGTGTGAAAGTACATTCTGCTTTCAATTGTGTTCATTCTTGTTTGAAGAAATTTCCTTGTGCCTTTGTTTCATGACTGCGTTCGCTTCTACACACAGTACAGAACTTAAAGAGGTTTTGGAGAATGCATATTTGGCTTGTTTTTGTTTTAGTTTTGACATTTCTGTATTTTTGCTCCTTTTCATCTGCTAGAATCAAATGTTACTGGGTTAAAGGCCTGTTATGCTCAAACACTGTTAGAAGTTAAAAAGTTACCAAAAGAATAAATGTAAACGGGATTTAAAGATTTCACTAGGAATGTTACAGTACTTGAGGTGGTCCTCTTTTAGCTAATCTACAAAGTTTGGTCACTCGTTGTTTTCATGTTTTTATTGGGAAACACCAACTAATGTTAACGCCTGAGTAGAAGAAGATGAATTTTAGATCAGTAGCCATTTTTGAATGATCTTTCAACCATTCATACATTCCTGGTGTGAGTGATTAACTGATCTGCTGGGCTATAATGGGTCTTTATTATGAGTACACACACAGGTGTAGGAATTGATCTGCAAATTTCTTTCAAAATTCTGACAACATGGATAAAGAATGTTTTTGGAAATTGTTAAAATAACAATGCTTTTTTTCCTCAAACTGTACACAAGTTTGCTTAGCTTTGTGTTTGTTGCTGCAATAAACAATCACATCACAACTGTTGAGTCATGGTATGATTATTAGTTCACATTATTAGTATCTGCCTGGTCAAGTTTAAACTTCCTTTTGAGTTGCATGACTGTAGGCTGTAAATAGTTTAATACATGTCACTGTCGTGTGTGTGTGTGTGTGTGTATAAAACTGTATGAAAGGTTAATGAAAAAAATTGATTTCCAGTAATTTAGTCATTTTGATAGTTCAGTTCAATTTAATTTGTATAGTGCCAAGTCATAACAGAAGTTATCTCAGGACACTTTTCAAATAGAGCAGGTGTAGACCGAACTCCTTTTTATAACATTATTTACAGAGACGCAACAGTACCACCATGAGCAAGCACTTGGGGACGGGGGCAAAGAAAAACTGCCTCCGGGAAGATAAGTTAGTAACATGCATTAATGGGACATGAATAAGTGCAGAAAGAGAGAGAGAGAGAGAGAGAGAGAGAGAGGAGCTCAGTGCATCATGAGAAATCCCCTGATAGTCTAGGCTTATAGCAGCATAACTAAGGAATGGTTCAGGACTCACCTGAACCAGCCCTAACTATAAGCTTTATAAAAGAGGAACGTCTTAAGCCTACTCTTAAATGTGGAGAGGGCGTCTGCCTCCTGAACCACAACTGGAAGTCTCTTGGTATGTGCCATAAGCAACTGTCCACAAGGAAATCCATGTAGTATTCTGTATTCTGTAACTATTTTGAGCTTCTACAACATAATTATTTTAGACAAATATCTGTGATAAGCTGGCTCAGAAAGTAAGTTTTGGTTATTATTGCTTCACTGTGCAGAATGCTGTCTGCAGTTTGACACTAGAAGGATGTTTTCACATTCGTCTGCTGAGAGTGGAAAGTTTCTCTGCTCACTGAAAGTCCGATTTTAAGGACCTATGAGCATGATTTGTGACATCACAAACAGTTTGGAAGTCAGTCCTTGTCTAATTTGCAACTTGTACACTGTGATGTAGAAACTTGAAGTTACCAGTATATGGACTTCACAGTGAAGAACATATCAGACACACATTACTGTTTAAAGATAAATATATCTTTAAACAAATCTGAAACTGGTATCTTTAATATTCCTTCTTGTTTTTCACCAGTGATATCTGTCCGGCCTGACCTGTCGAGCACAATCTTAAGAAAAATATTTGTTGTTACAACCTTTGACCAGATGATGGAGACAAAGTAGAAGTTTGTATTCAATTTCTACTTTTACCTTTAGTCTCACTGAAGTCTGGTTACTCATGAGGGGAATGTTTGGATTTACCTAGGAGGCATTAGAGGCTCCGAAAATCTCTTCCTATCACAACTCCGAAAGGTGTTTTGTTAGGGGAATTCTTTACCTTAGTCCTATTAACTGTTGTACTTCATCTTTAACTGGAGTAATACATTTACTAATTTAGTTTATTTTGGATGTTTTAATGTTTGTGGGTGAAACAGCAACTACTATTTTAAATAATATGTCTGAATACATGTTACATGTTCCTTTAAGAGTGGGCTGACAGCCTGCATGTGAAGCACAGATGTGAGAGAAACACAGAGCTCTCACTTCGTGACCGATTCCTGCTGCAGCTCAAGAGTGGTGGTGGAGGAAATGTAGACCACAGTCTCAGAAACAGAAATCAGAAACAAAATAATAAGAAATATATGAATGTTAACACCTGACTCTCAGTCTCTAGTCCATCAGAGGGATATAAACCCCTCTCATTGCTAAGAGACCACAATATACACAAGAGAAACAGGCAAAATCTGCAAAGAAATCTGAATTCTGGTCCTTCTTGTAGTTTTTTGATAACAATGTGTACCACTAACCGGATGTGCCACAAGCTACATTCACTTTACTCGGTGTCTGTGTCATTCCCGCTGAAAGAACAGATGTCACACTTTGTTAACTTGTAGCCGGCCGCCAAAACCCCGCCGTGACAGGAGCTGAGATTGACAGGTAGGCGCACTCACTGGAAGCACAATAGACTTTTATTCATTCATTCCGGTCAGCTCTGCAGTTATAGGGCAGCTAGAACAGAGGATGCTGATGTGGTTCAGCCACTTGACAGAGTCCCTTAATGTGTACTCAGTGTAAGTGTCTGTGAATCACCTGCTGCTAAAGTTTGGCACACACTTTCCACGGAACAGCCTGAGATGCTGACAGTTACTGACTGCATTAATACAGTTCAACATAAGAAAACATTACATTTGAATTGAATTTGTTTTCCTCTATCAAGCATTGTCTGTAGAAAAACAGCGCAGGTGTCCTGACTTGTGACCTGTAATGTGAGTGTTTGGTGCAGGGAATGGCGCTTTAAAGCATTTTAACATCATACATCATATCGTTTTTATCTAAACTTTGCATATAACGCTATACCCTGCATCCTGCTGTCCTTTCATTGTTCTGTTCTTGGTATTAAAATGATATGTCTTGCTGGATTCAGTGGGTCCGACATTTAGGCTACATGCCTGAATAAAAGGGCTGGGAGAGACACAGCTTTCCAGTCACACATGTTTACTCACTGCCTGTAAGCAGTGTTTAATGTTTCCTTTATACAAGCTGTAGAGGAGGAGAACTGAATGGTGAAGGAGACATTCATATTAAAATAGCCCTCCCCCTTTTGCTGACTGAGTACAAGATGTTAAAAGTTAAAGGTACACTGGGTAATTTTCAGGAAATCCTTGTTATTACTGACACCGGTGGCCGTTAAGTGAACTGCAGTCAGGATCCTGTTGCCTGTGCACATGATAAGATGTCCCTTTATTGATCCCCCTTAGGAGAAATTCAAAATTGAAGTGGAGGTACAACAAGATATCACAAAGTAAAATATTACAAAATATAATAGAAAATATAAGACTATAAATTAGTATATACACTATACAATTTTCAAGTAGGAATGGTGTGCAAATATTTGAGCAGCTTGACAAAAACTAAACTGTACATGTAGAAATTAAATATAGATAGTTGTGCAAAAAGTTTGCACGTTGTAGGTTGGAGTTTAAACTAGTCTTGGTCTGCGGGGGTTGGTGGTACTAGGTGCTGTGGCGTTGTGGAGTCTGATGGCAGATGCTACAAACAAGCCTCCAAACCGCTTTGAGGCTCAGGGCTGGGTCAGTCTGTGGCTGAACGTGCTCCTGAGCTGCCTGAGCTCAGTGTAGAGAGGATGAGAGGGGTTGTCCATGATGGCTTTCAGCTTCCCCTTCATCCTCTTCTCAGTCACAGCCTCCACACTGTCCAGCTCCATCCCCACCACCGAGCTGGCCTTCCTCACCATCTTGCTCAGCTTGTTGGCACCCCTAGTCCCAATGCCTCCTCCCCAACAGACCACTGCAAAGAAGATGACACTGGCCACTACAGACTGGTAGAACATCCGTAGTAGCCAAGTGCACACGCTGAAGGACCTGAGCCTCCTCAGAAAGTACAGCCTGCTCTGTCCTTTCCTGTAGAGGGCCTCAGTGTGGTCCGTCCAATCCAGTTTATTTTTAGGTGCCACCCCCAGGAACTTGTAGGTGTCCACCATTTCTACCTTCTCTCCCCTAATCGCAACTGGGGAGGGGGGTCCTCTTGCTGCGCCGGAAGTCCACCACCAGCTCTTTGGTTTTCCCTTTCTTTAGCTGTAGGTGGTTTCTGTCACACCATCCAATGAAGTTCTGGATCAGGTCTCTGTACTCCTCCTCCCTATCATCTGTGATACATCCGACAATGGAGGAGTCATCAGGGAACTTCTGTAGGTGGCACGCTCCAGAGTTGGAACAGAATTCAGAGGTGTAGAGGGTGAACAGGAACGGTGACTGTACAGTTCCTTGAGGTGTGCCAGTGCTGCTCGTCTCCACGTCTGACAAGCAGCTGTGCAGTCTGACATACTGTGGTCTTTCAGTGAGATAGTCTGTAATCCAGGCCACAAGGTCCTGATCCACCTTGTCAAGTAAGTTGATATCACTGAGCCGCTAAAACCACTTTGGAAAGCAAAGGACTTTCCATCGAGTAACGGAGAAAGATAACAACGGAGCATTAGGGACTCTCCATCTGAATAACGCAATGCACAGAGATTATAATAACCAAAAGCTGTATAATGATTGAAGTTGTCAAAATGAAATATGTAACAATGAAAGGAAACATGATTATATGATTGTAACTGATTATTTGATAATTAATAAGTATAAATGCATAATAGTAAGATAGAACTATGGAAAGTAAGGTCAAGAGAGCAAATCATGTCAAGTCAAGTCAAGTGTTGAGTAACAAAAGGCATGTATTGCAACCGGACATGCCTGGTGCTGAGAGAAAAGAGAAGTTGGAGCACACACACAGGACACATCTTGTGAGGAGCAAAAGAGGAAGTACTAGATACAAACCAAACAACACCCTAGGAGACAAGGGAGATAAAAGGTGCTGCACAAGGAGGATCGGGGTTAGTCCTCGGCTGGCTCCCGGGTTCAAGACTTGCTGAACGATCGACCACATCGGAGCAACGCATCTTTGAACTTAACTAACTAACTAAAGAGACGGAGCAAATGAACAAGCCTAACATTGCAGAAAGAGAAGTCCAACAACCTAAAGCCGAAACGAGAGTGTCAAGCAGAGGAGGATTAACCATTTCCACCCGGCTTTAGGATTCCAATTGATCTCCAAGGATCACTCTTTTGTTCACCCTGCCATCAGAGACTGCACTGGTCAGAGACTTTGCGGACTTCGGACAAAGTCGGAAGTTTCAACAGAAACCAACAGTACGGCAGGCAAAGGATGGACTGAATTGGTCGTACACCCGAAGGGGTCTTCCCTCTCTCTCTTCAAACTGGACATTCAACCATTCAGCTACAGCCTTTTCACCAGGGTTTGGAATTTAATAAATAAATATACGTAATAAAATAACAACTGAAGTTGAAGAGTAAATTGTGGACATTAGATTTATGATATATCAACAGGCAATAATTATTAGGTAGTGTGTTTAACATCTTGAAGGTTCTAACAGGTTACTCTAGCCAAAGAAATTAAACAGACCCTTGGGGCTTACTGTCCAAGCCGCTAAAAATAATCCTAGCAACTACAAAGTGCACAGATCAATAAGAGGAGAGCTGCCATGAACGGACATGACTAGTATGGTATTTGACCCTAGGGCTAGTCGGTCAGGTGCTGCACTAGAGTGAGCAGGGTAGGCGTTCGGATGAAGGCAGTTAGAAGCTAGGCGTGTCTCCTTGCCACCAGCTTAAACAGTCCTCTTCTGAACCTGGCAGAGTTAAACGGAGAGCTGGTCCAGTACCACCTATACAGGGGTGACTCATGATCTAACACGTGGCGCCCAACGTGGGGCTTGAAACGCTGCTGAAAGTAGGACTTTGTGTTATCTTATCATGCATGGATGAGTTGCTGGTCATTGATCATTGGGAGGCATCTCCTGGACCACCACACATGTCCCCAGTGATGCCTGCAGCAACAGAACAAGATGTGTTGACTTTTGTTTGGAACCTCACAATCTAAAACAGACAGTTGGTCCACACTTGGACTGTATAGAATGACGGGGGTCCTCTGTTGAATGGTATGGAATGACACTTAACTTGTTAAGTTGTTGTTTTATACATTTCTCCAGCTTAACTCTGTATTAAAAGGCTATATACAGTAAAATACTCATAACACATGTTCTATAACCACAATTAGACAGCAGTACAAAAAAGTTACATTGAGCCAAAGTTTATGGGTCTGTGGCAAGTGTGACCTCTGATCATAGTTTTAACAATGTTAATAAATCTTTTAGTAACGCCTTTTTGTAATAAAGTATGGCTTTATTAAAAAGGCGTACCCAAACTTGTATTGCTGCTGTTGGAACATTTAAGGATAATTGTTAATAGACTCGCATCCATAATTATGGCAAGTCATGTACAAAAACAGTGACTTCCAATCACAAACATTGTTAAACCATATTTTCTACTCATACCTGTGTTGTTCATTACAGTTTAATGGGGAGCCACACTCCTACACACGTTTCAACTTGACCCAGAACATGGAAGGTGATAACAGCCAGGTGGAGATGAAGCTGTCGTCTGACATGGATGAGGAAGTTGGGGGAAATGGCGTTGGAGATCACCTCAATCACAGCTCCAACCGCAAACCCCATGTGGCTCAGAAGCTTGGATGCACACCCAAGAACCTGTGCATCTTGGCAGCTGCCACCCTCCTCATCTTTATTATTGGTAAGACGGGGAGTGTCGAATGGAGCAGCTGACTTTCTATCAAGTTTGCATCACTTACTTGCATAACTTCCTAAAGGTTCCTCAGGGATCAATCTCAGGGACACTACTGTTTATTCACCATTGACATTATCAGGAGGCATTGTCTTTCCCCACCTGCACATGACATGCAACTTTTGACTGTGGACCAGTACGTGCTAATTTTTTGTTTTGTGTTTTAGATATGACTAATTGGATATCCTAACATGTTTTGCTACTCAACAGAATAAATTAAACATAAGTTACAGTTTCTGACTGTCTTAAAGAGGAACTGAATTCTTTGGAAGTTCTATTAACCAAGAAACAAGGAAGAAACCTGGTCTTGTCTTTGGCCCTGCACTTGGCCTCGTGGGTTATGTGGGGATTTATCACCAAATCTGCTTATTGTCATTGGAATCCATAGCTCAAGTGTGACCACAGAGACTAATGCAAGCTTTTGTAATCAGGCTAGAAAATAGCAATCTACTGGATGAGAGTTGAAGAAGTTTCTTGGGCGGTGTGGGGTATACATACTGTACAGTATAGTCATGGTCTCCTAGTGGTATAGTGTTTCAAAAGGCTGACTGTGGTTTTGGCTGTAACATGATGCCTTTAGTCTGTCCTTGGATTGTTCCTCTCTGTCCATGGTTGTACCTCATTTCAAACCACTGCTACTTTCAGGCTACTTGATTGGCTATCTGGTGCATCAGAAAAAGGAATTGGCTCAAAGCTGTGCAGCCTCCGTGCTTCCTTTGGAAGAACCTGTTCCTCACGAGACAGGTGCTGCTCCCCTCATGGACTGGGACGATGTGAAAAAGCTCTTCGCTCAAAAAACTCACTGTAGCCAACTTTGAATCTGTCTTCAGGTAAATATAATATCCACACAATGCCTGTGGAACCTGCTGTGAGGCAGTGTTGGTATTCTTCCAGAAGTACTAATCTTGGAAAAGTTTTTATTTGTATTACAATTTAAAGTAAATTATTGTTTCCTGTTTGTTTGCTTGCCTACCTCTTCCTTCCCCCTCATGTTATATTTCCCCCTATCCTAGTGAGTTTTCCAGTGACGAACACCGGGCTGGTTCTCCAGGTGATGATGCTCTGGGGAACAAGGTGCTCAAGAAGTTTAACAAGTACGGCATGAACACATGGACCAATGAGTACTTTGTTAAAGTTCAAGACCCCCCTGCTTCCGGCTCCAACAGAGTTGTTTTCAAGAATGGAAGTAATACAGAGTATCCAAAAGGACTCCTGTCCTACAGTGCCATAGGAACAGTAACGGTAATCTACAAGCTACATTTTAAGTATAAAACACTCTTTTACTTTTTTTTAATGAAGTGGAAAAACATGCAGTACATACTTTTTTTTGTCCAGGGTGCTGTCTTGTATGCGGGTTATGGGCAGGAAAGTGACTTAATGTTACTGCGGGACAGGAACATCAACCTGTCTGGCAGGGTGATGCTGGTCAAGGCTGGTAAGATAAGCTTTGCTGAAAAGGTGGGTGGTTCTAGTAAGAATTATAGTTTTTATTACAAAAACCTTTTTTTACAAATTCTTTTGTTGGTGTCAATAAAAACTGTAATGACTATTTTTTTCTTTCTTAAGCCCCTTTCTATGACCTTTTTTCTTACAGGTAGCCAATGCTGCCAAAATGAATGCCTCTGCTGTGTTGATCTACCCTGACCCCACCGATTACGCTTTCGAAGAAGACACTGAGCTCTATGGACATGTGAGTGTGACAGTTTAGACCAGTGGTTCCTAACCTTTTTTTTTTTTTTTTTACAAACCTTGTCCAATTGACACATTTTATGTATATTTCATGTTATAGTCATTGTATAATAATACAATGAACTACAATTAACCCAAATAGTGAATACCACAACTGTGTGAAAAACTAGTTTTTCATACATGTTTATATCGACACTTTAATAAAAAGCAAGGCTGTTTGAGTGAAGGCTCTGTGAATACAGCTTGTGTTCATGTCTCAAAGTTTAGATCTTAAGTAATAATAATTTAAAAATAACAATTTAATTTAGTTTTCTTCACAGAAACGAGTGAAACGCTGAGATATAGGCCCACTGTGTATATTTCTCAAGTTTTCTTTCACCCCTTTAAAATCAAAACCTCTAGTAGGCATTCAGACCCCCAGGTTGGGAACTAGCCTGCATAGAAGCACAAATGCAAATTTCTGCTGAGGGTTTCGCATTAGTCTGTTAGTGGTGGTGGTAATGCACCCAAAAACGTAGCAATGCGTAAGCAAAAGTAAACATGTACGTAGTCAATGCCGGTTTCCAAATATTGAGGGGGGTTAGCAAACGGTAAGAAAAATGCGTAATTCTGTCAGTCCAGTTGTTAATGAATCTGTTTTGTGAATTGAAGAATAAAGTTTAACATCATTTTCCTAATTTCAAATTTAGAAGCTTGAAGGTAAGTATCCAGGTTGCCGGGAAGATGTCAGTCAAATCATAACTGCTCTGCAAACTTGGTCATATCTTTAAATCCAACTTTCCTCTGTCTGCCTCTCACAGGTCCACATGGGTTCAGGGGATCCCTACACCCCAGGCTTCCCCTCCTTCAACTACACCCAGTTTCCCCCTGTCCAGTCTTCTGGCCTGCCAAAAATTTTGGCTCAGACCATCACAGCAGGCATGGCTACCAAAATTCTGAGGTAAGGCTCGCCTACTTTGTGGACCAACTAAAACAAAGCACAGAGATTATGATAAATACAGTACATTGTCTGTATGTCAGTACATTGGATCTGTAGTAGATTCCATAACCTTAATGTTTATTGTCTACATCCCACAGGGAGCTGGGGGGTCAGGAATGTGCCACAAGCGTGGGGAGGAATCTACAAACTGGGAGAAGAGAAAGATCTTATTACTGTGGACGTCAACAATGTTCTTACTGAGAAGAAGATAAATAATGTCTTCGGGGTCATCAAAGGCTTTGTGGATACAGGTACAATGGGATATTTATTTAACGCGAGGGGTAACTGCAATCAGGTAGTAGTGGAAAAACTTTGTCTTTTTTTAAATGTTTTTTTAAATTTTAGATCGATATCTGGTCATCGGTGCCCAGAGGGACGCTTGGGGTCCAGGTTTTGCTTCATCGACTGTTGGCACCAGTGTCCTTGTTGAGCTGGCACGCTCCATCTCTGACATGGTGAAGAACGGTGAGTCTCAGGTGGCAGCTGATGTCTGGAATGGATGTACACTTCATGTTGGAGTGTGCGTTAAGTCATAACTGGGCATAGTATTTTCTATTTAAAGAGATGCCTCCAGTTTTGTTAATGCGCATTTATTATCCACTTGACAGACGGATTCAAGCCAAGGCGAAGCATTGTGTTTGCCAGCTGGAGTGCTGGAGAATATGGGAGTGTTGGCGCCACCGAGTGGTTGGAGGTGAGAATCGCACAAGGCATTACCATAACTGCATTTTCAGCAGCTTTTATGCAGTAATACTACTGCTTTTTGTTAGCACTCTGCCTCAATTTTGTTATATTGTTTATTTGATTATCCAGGGTTATCTCTCTTCTCTGAGCATGAAAGCATTCACCTACATCAACCTGGATGGCGTTGTAGCAGGTATTTACCTTTACTCCAGATTAGTCAATTACATATTGAACACCTTCTTA